GATTATCCAGATACGCCTCATACAGCTCTTCGAGATACGCTGCATTCCCGCCAAATAAATAGGCACTTGATTGCAACGCACTCATCCTTTCTTTCACACTCATTTTCTTTTCAGATTCTTGATCAAAATGGATCCATACAGCGGCACAGTGGCCACATCTAGTTACCTAGTACAGTCTAAATAGGCCTTTTTTAAAAGGCCGCAGGCACATTCTTAAATGTCCTCAACACCCGCTGCATAGAGGGTATCAAATTATGTGGTTGGAGGGACGTTGAAACCCCAATATGCAAGACGTTTTTTAGACAATTTTCATCATCCGACGTTGTTCAGAGCCACTTAAAAGGCGATTTATTACAATGACACTCACTGTAATAAAGGTAATAAACAGCGTAGCTAGCGCATTAATTTCGGGGTTAATACCCAAGCGCACTCGAGAAAACACCACTAGTGGCAACGTCGTAGAACCGGGGCCAGACAGAAAAGCGGACAGGATTAAATCATCCATTGAGAGCGTAAAAGAGAGCAGCCAGCCTGCCATAAGCGCTTGTGAGATAAGCGGCAGGGTCACGCTAAAAAACACTCTAAAAGGCGTTGCTCCCAGGTCCAGTGCCGCCTCTTCTAAAGAATGATTGAGCTCACGCACTCGAGATTGCACAATCACGGCAACATAGGACATACACAATACGACATGCCCCACCCAAATCATTAACATGCCGCGTTCTTTGGGCCAGCCCAGCCAGTTACCTAGCTCAATAAATAGCAGTAGCAAAGAAATACCCTGAATTACTTCAGGGATTACAAGCGGAGCATTGATCATAGCGCTATAGAGGGTAGCACCTCGAAAACGCCCCATACGTGCAAGTACAAAACCCGCCCATGTACCCAGTGCTACCGATGCGCAAGCGGTCATTATCGCAATACGCAAAGAAAGCCAGGCCGCATTCAATAGTTCTTGATCGCGAAACAGCTCGCCATACCATTTCAATGAAAAGTGCGTCCACACCGTTGACAGCGTAGATGCGTTGAAAGAGTACACCACCACACTGACGATAGGCGCATATAGAAAGAGAAATCCCACAATAAGCGACAAGGCTCGAATAGGGGAAATAGGAGAAGAACGTCTTGCGGATCGGGTCATCGGAGCTATCTCTTCTCTAACTTTTTCTCTAGCTCTTTGGTCTGGAAATGCTGGAAGCCTGCCATAGGCACTAGCAATAACAGAACCATCGCGCACGTCACAGCAGAAGCCATGGGCCAATCGGCATTATTGAAAAATTCATCCCACATTACACGACCAATCATCAAGGTATTGGCCCCACCTAATAATTCGGGAATAACATACTCACCCGCCGCAGGAATAAACACGAGCAAACAGCCTGCAATGATCCCGTTTTTAGACAAGGGCAGCGTAATTTTCCAAAAAGCTTTGAAGGGTCGGGCACCTAGATCATAAGCGGCTTCGAGCAACCTCAAATCCATTTTGACTAAATGCGCATACAAAGGCATTACCAGGAATGGCAGATAGGAATACACCATACCAATGTATACCGCGGTATTCGTATGATAGAGCTCTAGAGGGGTATGTATGATTCCTAATGCCATCAAAAACTGATTAAGCAAACCATTATTTTTCAGTATGCCTATCCATGCATAGACACGAATAAGGAAAGAGGTCCAAAAAGGCAGCATCATTGCCATTAATAGCAAGCTGCGGTGTTTGGGTTGGGCGCGCGCGATGGCATAGGCCATCGGATAACCGATTAATAAACACAGGAAGGTCGAGATAGCAGCGACTTTGAGCGAGTTTAAATACGCCGCAAAGTACAGACTGTCGGTTACCAGAAACGCATAGTGCGAGAGCAAAAGCGTGATGTGTAGCACGCCATCTTTAAGCTCGAATAAACTGGTATAAGGCGGGGTGCCCAAACGCAGATCGGCAAAACTGATTTTTACAACAATCAGAAAAGGCAGGAAAAAGAAAAGCAAAAGCCAAATATAAGGGCCAGCAATTACCGCACTGCGGCCAGACAAATTAAATCGCTGCACCACGAATTCAAAGCATTGCCCAAACACGGCCCATACACTTTTTGCGCACCCGCGCACGCTCAGCCAGAGCAGGCGTACAGGAGCGGCCAAAAGCATGCGCAAAAAACCACAAGCCATAATAACAAAGCTAGTAGCTTGACTCATGTTGTTAATACCCGCGCTGAAGCAGGCCCCCAACTAATACAGACTTCATCATCATAGGTGGGCAATTCTGCTTCTGTAAGTGCAGAGCTCAATACATTCGCAATGATATTGCGCCCAGAAGGCAAACCAATATGGTAGACGGTGTAGCCGCCCATATAGACAATATTGCTAACCTTACCGCGCGTCCAATTATGGTCCTGTGAAGGCGCTTCACGTGTCACTACGATGCGTTCTGGACGGACGGAGATCGTCACATCCATACCTAGCTCACCTGTAACGCCATGGTTCACATATAAACGCTGCTCAAGATCGGCGCTTTCAATAAACACGTGATCGGATTCATCTTCAACGATCGTGCCCATAAAAATATTGGTCGACCCGATAAATTCTGCGCAAAAACGGCTGTTGGGGTATTCGTAGATCTCATGGGGTGTACCTACTTGCACGATGCGGCCTTCACTCATTACCGCCAAGCGATCTACCATTGCCATTGCCTCTTCTTGATCGTGTGTGACCATCATGCAGGTCACCCCCACTTTCTCAAGAATATCCACCAGCTCCATTTGCGTGCGCTGACGAATTTGTTTGTCCAGTGCGGACATGGGTTCATCAAGCAGTAATAGTTTTGGGCGTTTCACCAAGCTTCTAGCAAGCGCTACGCGCTGCTGCTGCCCACCAGAGAGTTGATACGGTTTTCTCTTGGCGTAACGACCCATTTGCACAAGGCTCAGCGCTGCATCGACCCGTTCTTGTAACTCAGCTTTTGGTACTTTTTCTTGCTTCAAGCCAAATGCCACATTGGCTTCTACAGACATATGTGGAAATAAAGCGTATGACTGGAACATCATGTTCACAGGTCGCTTGTAAGGCGGCATAGCTGCCAGATCTTGTCCATCGAGCAAGATGCGCCCAGACGTAATAGGCTCAAAACCCGCGAGCATGCGTAGCAAAGTAGATTTGCCACAGCCTGAGCTACCTAAAAGCGCAAACATTTCGCCTTTCTTAATAGACAGGCTTACGTGTTGCACCGCAACGCTCTCACCGAATTTTTTGACGACGTCAATAATCTGAACAAATTCGTCCATGCAGCAGCCCTTTTTTGAGGCGGATAAAAAAGATACGGCTAATGGCCGGTTTTGAATTCTTGCCAGAGTCTGGTCTGTAAGCGAACAATATTCAATGGTAGCGGTTTTAGCGGAAATAATGTTTTCATAACCTCTGGGGGAGGATAAATACCCGGGTCTTTTAAGATATCTGGGCGCACATACCGTTTTGCTTCAATATTAGCATTGGGGTAAAAAACGTGGTTTGTAATAGCGGCATGGACTTCAGGTGTTTCAATATAGTTGATCCATTTCAATGCTTCCTTAGGATGCGGTGCATCCTTTGGAATCGCCATCACATCAAACCAAACCGCTGCCCCCCCTTGAGGAATGAGATATTGAATGCGGTACGGTTTTTTAGCTTCTTCTGCCCGACGGCGTGCAATGGCCATATCGCCAGACCAACCAAAGGCCATACAAATATCACCGCCCGCCATATCATTGATATAGCCAGATGAATTAAATTGAGTGATATAGGGGCGAATCTTTTTTAGCGTCTGCAACGCCAACCGATAATCCGCTGGATTGGTACTGTTAGGATCTTTGCCGAGATAGTGCAATACCGTTGCAAAAACTTGATCCGGCGCATCGAGCATCGACACACCATGGCGCTTTAACTGCGACACATATTTAGGATCAAATAAGATATCCCAACGATCTAGTTGGACATCTTTACCGAGAATTTCCTGCACTTTTGTAACATTATATGCAAGCCCTGTAGTGCCATAGGCCCAAGGCACAACATAGCGGTTACCTGGATCTATAGCTTCTACTAAGCGCATCCATTCAGGGTCTAGGTATTTGAGGTTGGGGAGTTGGCTACGATCGAGCGGCAAAAACATATCTGCCATAATCTCTCGTCCTGCATAATTGCCTGTAGGCACCACGATATCGTAGCCTGAGTGCCCAGTCAGTAATTTTGCATGTAAGGTGTCATCTCGATCATATACGTCATAGCGCACCGCAATCCCTTCTTTTTTTTCGAATTGAGAGATCGTATTTGGCGCGATATAGTCTGACCAATTATAGATATTGAGGTGTGCACTAGGTGCTGCAATTGCCATAGCCGGCAATGCACAGAGCATGCACAATGCCCGACGAATCGAGAAAAATAGGGTATTCATGAGCGTTTTCTCCAGAAATCTGTTTATCGCAGGTTCTAAAAAGAAGGCGCTGAAGCTATAAACAGCGCGCATGATCAAGTTAGGGCATGCCCTATAAAATTCACCGCATATTCGGAGAAACCATGCACCTACTACAATACACGTAACAAACCTTTTAATGGCCGTTCAGTTATTTTAAAAATAATAGGTCTTACCACTCACTACTTTGATATCGAATGACAACCCTGCCTTTTGACCCATCTGATCCCCTTGATAGCCCTTGTATTGGCATTTGCTCTACCCTTTTTGATGAAGAGTGCCAAGGGTGCGGCCGTACTGCCGCGGAAGTCTCAAATTGGGTGGGATTATCACAAGAAGAAAAGCGCGCCATCTGGAAAAGAATTCAGCGTGAAGGCAGAGCCATTCGCTTTACTCGCGCTATGCCAAAATCAGGCAGGTAAACTGCTTAGCCCCAGAAAAGGCGCACTACAACTACTAGACCTCTTTCGCAACCCAGTAGCGGCGTCATTCCTCCTTGCCGTACTAGTGACTGTCTTCGTCGGAATTCCTTGCTACTGGGTCGCGAAAGAGGTCTACTATTTGGAGGCGAGAGCCGGAATCGAACCGACGTTGGCGGCTTTGCAGGCCGCTGCATCACCATTCTGCCATCCCGCCAAAATCAAAAGAAACGCTATTTGCATTGGTAGGCTAATAATTGTAAACCTACTTCTTGGCGTTCCAATAAAAAAGGGAAGCGACGATGGCTCCCCAAAAATATGTACCACCTGTTCTACGGTGGCAAAAGGCCACGACTTCGATGGTGGAGTAAAATATGGAGCGGGAAACGAGTCTCGAGCTATTCCCGCATTTCAATTTACCGCCTGCAGCTGCTAAATACAGCGAACTGTTGAAGGGCGCGATTATGAATAAGCGTCTTTAGTGTGTCAAGACCGATCTTGCATTGAAATGCATTTTTTAATGCACTCAATCACTAAATTCACGAGAGACTACCTCTACAAGGGCTGCCCATATCCCTGGCTTTTGAAGAATAGGCATTTCCTTGGCAAGCACATTGCTTAGTTTTCCCTGGTTTTGCTGGATCGAACGAATTATTCGGTCAGCTTGATGATCCGGCATTTCCACAATTTCTTTCAGCGCTTGCCTCGCATTCCCGTGATTGCGCAAATATTGAGATTCCTTTGGCATTTGCTCTGTCAAGGTGCGGCTAATGATGTTGGACATGAAAATAACATGCGGACTCAGATCAGGATAACA